TCATTTGTACCTGTGTGCATATCTGAGAATAGACATATCGTCCTGAAGTAGGGACGTGAGGCTTTAGGGCTGGTGTCAACAGCTTTCCAAGGTGGCTAGCTCTGGCGGCAGAGAGACCTCATTTGTGAATCAATACCTGCAGTCAGTTCTGCTTCTGTGCTGTAAATCTTTACGGCGGTGATGGAATGGAAATGTTTCCCTCTGGAAGAAAGCTTATATTTGTGCATCTTATTTCTGTAAATTCCCAGAATCTGTGGACTCAAAAAGATGATTCTGTAGTCATCCAACAGAGATATAGATAGACCCCAGAAGCCGGCTTTCCGTGCCTCTGGGGGCCGCTGGCCTCCAAATGTAAGTTTCCAGACCCCGATTTTTAACTGACTGCAACCCCCCCCTGCAGCCCCTGCCTGCCAAAGCAGCAACACATTCAACAGCTCTGACTCTGCCCTCAACAGCTTTGACTCCCCCTTCCCCAACAAGCAGGTCTCTGAGGAGTCAGGCAGACCTTTTCCATCTCATAAAATGGGGCACAATGTCACCTCTGTTGGCCTGGAAATATGGGGGAGGAAGGATTAACTCCATGGCCTTGTTCCCTGAGTGCTGGTGGCCGCCCACCTTGGCAGTTTCCTGCAAACTGTATTAAAGCCTCTCTCTGTGCTGAGCTCCCCCACCCCCAACTCTGGAGAGAGCTGGGAAAAGGCTACTACTGCCGCAGAGATGCTCAGGGGCCATTTGAGGGCGGTGGGATTAGCAGAGAGCGACATCTCACTGGCATCTCAGTTCAGAATTAGCCAATACAGCTCCTGTGTCTGCCTGGCTCTGGAGTCCTGCTATGTCACCTCTGCCTGCCCATACTGCCATCAGTTATGCTCTGCTTTAAAGGAGTGCTTGGCCTGGGCTGAATGTGTGAGCTAGTGCAGAAGAGACTTTCAGCTAGCTCTGCTCCTCTAATCTCCACAGAAATGCCATGGGCTTGGGCACAGCTACCATGCTGTCCCTTCATAGAGCCTCAGGCCTCACTTTCTAATTAGCTGGGTTGCTGGGTCTCAGATTCCCCTAGGTTGGCTTTTCCAGAAAATGAATGCATCTGTGTAGGCTGAGGTTCCAAACTGGTTTGCTGAAAAAAGCCACCATCTCTTAACATTCTTCAGAGATCACAACCTAGGACTCACCTCAACCCTGCTTGCAAACCCACCTTCCACTTCTAGGGTTGGTGCCCTTCAACTCTGTCATTGACAAAGCACATAATAAAAGAGCTATGGTTTGGGGGCATCATGAATGAACCAACCATTATGCCAGGACTTTTACAGACATGTTATCTTAAGCCCTCATATCCACCTGGACAATTTAGGGATGTACATCTACACACTCCTGTGACAAGAGGGACCTGGATGACTAGTGGCCACGGTACCAGAAAGATACATGCCTAGAGCAATATCAGCATAGCAGAAAGTTCTGTGGGATTGTGCTGTGCTTCAGGGTAGGGCAGGTGTGCCTGTCTAGGCAGAGTTCTGTCCTTGCGGGGCATGTCTGGGAACTGCCCAGGTGCTTACACGTGACCAGGTGGAGTGGAGAGGCACATATGGCTTTCCATGTGAGAGTACCTCTCTCTCTCTCTCTCTGAGTGTGTGTGTGTGTGTGTGTGTGTGAGACACTCCTGCATGTATGTCTTCTTCAGTCACTCTCAACCTTTTTGTTTTAATTTTTGCATGCTTAGTCCCCAGTTGATGAATTTTTTTAATTTTTATTAATTACACTTTATTCACTTTGTATCCCCCATAAACCCCTCCCTCCTCCCCTTCCAATCCCACCTTCCCCCCCTTCCTCACAAATGCCCCTCCCTAAGTCTGCTGATAGAGGAGGTCTTCCTCTCCTTCCTTCTGAACCTAGTCTATCAGATCTCATCAGGAGTGGCTGGCTGCATTGTCTTCCTCTGTGGCCTAGTAAGGCTGCTCCCCCCTCAGGAGGAAGTGATCAAAGAGCAGGCCAATCAGTTCATGTCAGAGACAGTTCCTCTTCCCATTACTATGGAACCAACTTGGACACTGAACTGCCATGGGCTGCATCTGTGCAGGGGTTCTAGGTTATCTCCATGCCTGGTACTTGGTTGGAGTATGAGTCTCTGGAAAGACTCCTGTGCTCAGATTTTTTGGTTCTGTTGCTCTCCTTGTGGAGCTCCTGTCCTCTCCAGATCTTACTATTTCCCACATCTTTCATAAGATTCCATGCACTCTGCCCAAAGGTTGGTCATAAGTCTCAGCATCTGCTTTGATAGTCTGCAGGGCAGAGCCTTTCAGAGGCCCTCTGTGGCAGGTTCCTAACTTGTTTCCTGTTTTCTTCTTCTTCTGATGTCCATCCTCTTTGCCTGTTGGGATGGGATTGAGCATTATAGCCAGAGTCCTCCCTCTTGATTAGTTTCTTTAGGTGTACAGATTTTAGTAGGTTTATCCTATGTTATATGTCTATATAAGTGAATATATACCATGTGTGTGTTTCTGCTTCTGGGATATGTCACTCAGAATGATCTTTTCCAATTCCCACCATTTACCTGCAAATTTCATGATTTCCTTGTTTTTTATTGCTGAGTAACATTCCATTGTGTAGATGTACCGCAATTTCTGTATCCATTCTTCATTTTTGAGGTAAGGTCTCTCACAGGAACTTGCCAAGTCGGCTAGGCTGGCTGACCAGTGAGCTCAACAAATCCACCTGTCTCAGCTTCCCCATTAATGGGATTGTGGGTATGTGTTGTTATGCCTAGCTTTTTTGTGGGTGCTGGGGATTCAAACTCAGGTCATCACGCTTGAGTCAAAAGCACTTTACTCACTGAGCCCCTAAGACTGTCTTGAGAGCGGCCAGGCCTGTCCCCTCCCCCACATTTCCTGCTGTTTCAGCCCCCCCCTCCTTGGGGGCACTTTAGTAACACTGCAGTAACATCTATCCATCTTCTGCTTCTCTCTGGGAGGCTGCTAACAAACAGATAAACAGAGCTGGCAGCAAATGGTCTCAGGCTCCGTCCAGATCTGCTCCTCAGAGTCTGTGTTTGACTCATGTGCATCTTATGTTTGAGAAGCTTGGGGAGACAGCTCACTGCAATGCATCCTGTGACCTGCAGTGCCGGCATGACTAGGAGACCCCACCTCTGGTCTAACACATGTATGTGGTAGAGCCACTCACCTGCACCATTCTCAGGAACTGAGCTACGTCCTTTCAAGATGGAGCACACGTAATTTATCCAAGGTCAAACCCAGGAAGACACTGAGGCATAAAAAAGTACCCACCGCTCATCTCAAAGCTTAAAGAGTGTGGCACATCTAGAGTCACGTGACGGAGCTGGAGCTTAACCATGGTGCCATGGGTCACCCTCAGCAAAGATGAAAGCATGGTGTTATGGAGACAGAGTAAGCAGGTGAGGTCTGTCCTGTGCATGAAGCTGTGTGTGTGTGTGTGTGTGTGCGTTTGCACATGTGTGTGTGTTCCCATGTGTGGGCAATTGGGGGAACAGAGCTCTCCTCTAGGTGGAGCTGAGGAAACCCTCACACGCTATCCAATTCAAGCAAAGCACATTCTTCCAGCCAGGCCTGACCAGATGTATCCATTACTTGTCTCATTGCTTTATCAAAATACCCAGCAGAAAGGTGCGTGTTGGTGGGTACGGCCAGCCCACCAGGGAATTCATGGAGGCAGGGACGGGAAGGGGCCAGTCACATATCCACACTCAGAAAACAGGGAGAGAATGTTACGACTCAACTCTGTTTCTCCTTTTCATTCAGGCCAGAACCCTAGGCCATGGAATGGTGTTCCTGTATTTGGCATGAGCCTTCCCACTTCAATTAACCTAATCTAGACACTCTCCACAGGCATAACAAGAGTTTTGGTTTCACAGTGATTCTGGAGACTGTCAAGTTAACAACCAACGTTAATCATTAATCATACCAGCCAAAGTGTCAGGACTAGATGATCCCCTTCTCCAAGCGTTCTTTTGATGGTATTTAGTGGGCAACTAACTTCGACTTATATCATGATGAATGAGGTCAGAGCAGTGATAGAAGTTGGAGAGAGAGGCTGAGGGGCTTTGTATGCCATTGCTAGCACTCTGTTCTGAGTGAAATAAGAAATGTGGTGATCTGGGAAGAGGAAGGCAGTGTTCTTATAGTCTTGCAGGCCTTGTCTGGATTCTGAGATGGGAACAGCCTGAGAGGGAGGTGAGGTGGACACAGATGGGCCAGTGGGCAGGCTACTGCAATGGTTCTAGCCACCAGGCAGAGAGGTGGGAGGCAGGAGTACAGATTGCTCTTACGGAATATCTAGAAGTTGATGGTAGTTTAGGAGAGGAATTTATAGCAAAAGTTCAGAGTACAAATCATCAAAGCATAGATGGAATTTGAAGTTCTAAGTTGGGGGCTGTTCTCAATGTATTCCTGAAATACCAAAGTATTCGGAGTAGACTGAGAACAAAGGAAACTCGAGAATGGAGCAGAGACCTCCACTCAGCCTTGCCAGCGTCTGCTGAGTTTCACCCTGAAGGTCCCTCTCCACCTCTTCTAGTCTTTGACCCAGGCTTGGGTTACTTTGCGTCCACCCTCCTCCTGAATTCCTGGGGGTGATGAGGAAAGTGAGGGGATCCTTCATGGGGGATGTGGGTTCAGGCAAGTTCATTTTCTTTGCCCAGTACAGCAAGCCACATCACCTGACTTCAGGGGTGCAGAGGAGTCCAGACCTTGGACTATATGTGAAAGTCAGGCTCTCCCACAGAGTATCAAGACTGGAAGACCCAAAGACACTGCTGAGCCCCACAGTTCTGTGGATTCCGATCTCAGTATCATTGCTGATATACAGCCAGACAACTGACCTTTGCAATTAGGCTGTGTCCTGTGACTTCACTATATTTGTTTCCTAGTTTCAGGGTTTTATTTTGGTTTCTCTATCTCTCTTTAAAGTAAATAATGTGAGGTTTTCTCCACCGCAAATCGTGCTGCTGGGAAGGGTAGCACTTTAACTTCTTCCTTTATGGTGTATACACATTTTATTCCTCTGTCTTTTTCTTATCAGAGCAGCCATGACTTCTGGATCAATGCTGAGTGAGAATGCTGAGGAAGAAATGCTGGCTTTGCCGTGATGGAAGTCTTAGGAAGATCGAATTCCAGTTTCTCAGCATTCAGGCTAATGCTGACATTCCTTCCACGTGGAGAACCCTGCAGGGATCCCAAGGTTGCTAAGAGACTTTCGCTCTTCCATTTTCAAATCCCAAATGTCTGTTGACTTCTATAAGATGAGTTTTGCCTTCACTGGCCTGCTGTAAATGTTCTTGTCCTGTCTATTTGAGCAGTAGGTTACACCGACCTTCAAGTGCTGAATTAGCCCTACATGTTTGGATTATTTGGTTGTGGCCTATGGTTCTTTTTATGAGTCACTGGATTTGAGTTGGTGGTTTCTTGCTGCTTTCTGCATCCATGTTCATAAAGATATTGACATTGGTCTAACATGTTCTTTTCTTAAAGCATATTTGTCCTGCTTTGGTATTTAGGTGCAGTGTTGGCTACAAAGCCAGATGAAGGACCTTCTAGTCTGTTTTATTTCTGGGGAAGATCACAGGGCTGGCACTGCTCTCCCCTAAGTGCTGAGAGAATGTGCCAGTTGAACCCACTGAGTGTGTTTCTTTTTTTCTTTTTGAGAAATTGAATTCTTTTTCATATACATACATGCGTATATGAGGATATATGTTTTTATTTATATGAATTTTACCAATTTTAGGTAAGTATTAACTCATGGGCATGGAGATTTTTGGTTATTGTTTTAACCTTTTTTTATATTATCATACATTGGATGTTCAAGGAATCAGTAGCAATGAACCCTCTTTTGTTTCTGGTGTTGGTAATTTGTGAGTTCTCACCCTTTTTTCCTTGATTTACTAGGCTCTAATGTATTCCTATTATTGATTGTTTTTAAAGAACTAGCTTTTGTTTTTGTGGATTTTTATAATTTTCTTGATCTATTTTATTGATTTCTGTCCTAGTTTTTATTATCTTTCTTCCTGTTGTTTAGGGTTAAGCTTGTTATTTTTTCTTATACTTTTATAAGCTAGAACTTAGGTTAGTTATTCTAGGTCTTTAGTCTTTTATAATATGTACATTTAAATCTGAATTTTCCTCATTTCATTTACATTTTGTTCAAAACCCTTCTTTATTTCTTTGGATACTTCTTGATTGATTGACCCAAAGACTAGACGTAGAACTGGGTTGTCTCATTTTTAAACAGATGAGGATGTCATCCTGGGATGGGGGAATTAGATCCTCAAGGCTAGACAAGTGTGTCCATGCAGACAAGAGCAAACAAAAGGAAAGCTGGTTAAATGCATGAAGGTTGGTCAGATAAATTCATTTTTACTCAGAACTCTGGGAGAATTATAGACATCAAAAGGAAGAACATGAGGATAGATTCCGTGAATGGCTGTACGTACGTGTGTGTGCATATGTGTGTATGTTTATGTGTGTGCGTGTGTGTGTGCATGAGTGCGCATGCACGTGTGTGTGCATGTGTGTGCCTGTGTGTGTGTGGTGTGGTGAGCATATTCGGCCTTGTTCCCTGAGAAGGTGCAGGGCGATGACACCCATAGCAGTGAGATCATCTTGCACCCATTCTTGGCCTCTACACACACAATCTGTGCTAATTTCTTGTTGTTGGTAAGTCAAGTTACTGCACATTTAGTGGCTTCAAACAGCTCTTATCATTTACAGGTGTAGAGGTTAGAAATCCAGAATAAGTCCCGCCTGACTGAAAGTCAAAGTGTTGGCAAGCCAGAAGACAGCAGTCATTCTAAGGTTCTGGAGAAGCCTTGCTTTTTCCTGGCCCAGCTTCCAGAAGCCACAAGGGTGACTTCTCATCCTTGAGGTACCATCAGTATGACCCTGGCTTCCATCCTCATTTTTCTTTCTGCCTCTAACTCTCCAGCCTCCTTCTTTAACCTAAGATTCTCATGGTTACCCCGAGTACAGAGCACACCTGGATGATCCAAAGTAAATGCCCATCTCAAAAACGTCCTCTCTGCCATAATTACATGCAAATCCTGTTGTCATGCCATGACACATGTCTGCAGTCTATAATAAGTGTCACTGGAAGATACTCTCCATACATTTCCACGAAAGGACTTTTGGAGAAGTGATGGAGCTGGGCTTGTTGCTAAGAAACAAGAAAGGATTCAGATAATGATAAAGGCCTTTGCAAACAATGTGAAAACCAGCTTGAGGGGGAGACCAAAGGTCAAACTGGAAACTAGATTAAAATGATTGTTACATATTACAAATTAGGATAAAAGAGGAGTGTATGAGTTACTATGTATTCAAATGAATTCATGAATAAACTAATGTTTGATGAGGAATGGAATATTTATGTGGTTTCAAACACCTACCCTTTAAATACATGTTCATTACAAACAGGCAGAGAGCACCTACCATGGGAAGCCTGGGAACGGCACATTAGTTGAGGCAGTGTAGTATCGTCAACACTGGGGCAAGTTAAAATAATGTACCACCCAGCAAGATGCAATAAGGAGGAGGGCAGCTAAATGGCTCAGAAGGTAAAGGCACTTGTCACCAAGCTTAGGACCCAAGTTTGATCTCTGGAATTCATACGTTGGAAGGAGAGAACCAACTCTAGTAGTTGTGCTCTGTCTTTCACATGTAAATAGTTGAACACATGCTCATACACACACACTCTTTCTTGTTCTCTCTCTCTCTCTCACACACATACAAATAAATTAATATAAAATAAAAAAGATGCTATGAGGGAACATTATATCTGAAATAATCATGTGAAAAATTCATAATCCAAATATAATTGTAAGGAATTATCAAACAAACCGAAAAGCAATCAGTAATCTTTGAGAGACTAAGGCTATCAAAGTCAAGGCCATCAAAGGAGTGGAGTCATAGCAAAGGAGACTGACAGGGCATGATGACTAAACACAGCATAAACATGCATGTTTTAAACATGGCAATCTTTACCTTACAGGATATTTTGGGGACAACTAGTGACTCTTCTTTAATTATGAATGTGTGTTTCTTGTGTGTAGGTTTGTATGTTAATGCAGAGCCTGCAGAAGCCAGAAGAGGGCGTCAGTTCCCCAAAGCTGCAGTTACAGGTGATACTGCCTGATGTGGATGCTGGGAACTGAATCTGGGTCCCCTGGAAAAGCAGAAAGCACTATTAACCTCTGAGCCACCTCTCCAGCCCCAGCTGATGGTCCTGAATAGAATGTCCTCACACCATTTGGTGGTGACCATCTAAAATATCATCTCTTCTATGTCAACGGTACCACCAACCTTTACCAACCCCTGTGTAGTAACATGGCGGAACTCTAAAGATAGTGGTATCTAGAAATTAAAAAAAGAGGACACATTATGAACTATGAAATGTACCAGGGAAACCATGGCATATCCAAAGGAGACACAGGGAAGCTTTCAGAGCCCAAATGGAGATGGTGTGAATTATTGAAAATCATATTCCTTGAACACAAGAAGGCATAGGAAACTTGTGGGGAGATAACAAGCCCAGGGTTGAGCAGCCATTTGACATGGCCTTGCAGAAGCATTCTCTAGGGTGATAGCAGTTGTTTCTGGGCAAGCTTGTGTTGATAGCCGACCCCGTGTGAGTTGCTGCTATCGTATAGTCTCATCCACATTACGACCCAGCTCTACTTAAGTTTATTTCATTCCGGATCAATACCAGCAACTGCGTCTCAATTTCAGTATCTTTCTTTATAGTATCATGAGCATCATGAGAACACACAGAGTATATTAGACCATTCAAGGGTGACTGGTCTTACTGCTTCCCGCTCTTTTCAGTGGTTTAAGGAGAAGTTATTAACCTTAACTTCTAAATTTCAGAAAGTTTGCAATTGTTTCAAGAATTAACAATGTAAGATCAAAGCCACGTTGCTCTCTGTAGTAGAGTTACATGATTATTTTGTTGGGATTGTGTTAAATTGTTAATGTATTTTTGACATTGTTAGTGTTCACAATGCTGTATTCTTAATGAAATAAAAAGATGATGTGTCTTTCCATTCTCCTGCCTTTCATTCATGTTCTACCCACTTAAAACTTTTTTCATGTGGCTCTCTCACATTGCTTATTGTATTTATTCCTTTGTGTGTTAACATTTCTTGCTTAAGAAATGGGGTCTATTATATGGTCTATGTTATTTTTATTGGTTTTATGGAGAGAAAGAGCTTTGGTAAATTAATTATGCAAACAGCCTCTTCCAGTCAGGATTTTGCTACTGTGACAAATACATGAGCTAAAGCAACTTACAGGAAGAAATTGTTTGTGGCGGTTAATGTTTGTTATCCCTTGGGTGGGATTTAGAATCTTTGGAGGGTGGAGGCACGTATCTGGTATTCCAGTGAGGTCATTACCACCACATGAATGAGGGGAAGAAAGAGCCATCCTGAATGAGATGGGCACTATCTCATGGGATGGGGACCTGGGCATAGCAAAGAGAAGAAAGGAAAAGGCAAGAGCCTGACAGCACTGTTCTTTAGTCTGCTTCCTGGCCACCATAACTGGAGCTGATCTGTTCTGCCTTGGCCTCCCCACCACAATATACACCCATTTCTGCAACTGTGATTAAGAATTCTTTCCTTACTATTTCCCACTTCTTTCATAAGATTCCATGCACTCTGCCCAAGAGTTGGCCATAAGCCTCAGCATCTGCTTTGATAGTAAGATCTAGAGAGGACAGGAGCTCCACAAGGAGAGCAACAGAACCAGAAAATTTGAACACAGGGGTCTTTCCAGAGACTCATACTCCAACCAAGTACCAGGCATGGAGATAACCTAGAAACCCTGCACAGATGTAGCCCATGGCAGTTCAGTGTCCAAGTAGGTTCCATAGTAATGGGAACAGGGACTGTCTCTGACATGAACTGATTGGCCTGCTCTTTGATCACTTCCCCCCGAGGGGGGAGCAGCCTTACCAGGCCACAGAAGATAACAATGCAGCCACTCCTGATGAGATCTGATAGACTAGGTTCAGAAGGAAGGAGAGGAGGACCTCCCCTATCAGTGGACTTGGGGAGGGGCATGCGTGAAGAAGGGGGAGGGAAAGTGGGATTAGGAGGGGAGGAGGGAGGGGTTTATGGGGGATACAAAGTGAATAAAGCATAATAAAAGTTAAAGAAGAATTCTTTCCTTCATCACATTGTTAATGGCATGGTTAACTCTCAGTGAGCAGTTGGTTCATATTTTCAAGAGTTTCTATCCTTGTTCCTTTGGGTCTGTGGTGGTACCAGCTATGGCAGGAGTACCTAGCAGAGGCCTCCTTATAAATGAGGAGGAGGGCCTAGAATTCTAGTATACGTTCAAGGATATACGTCCGGTGACCTAAAGACCTCTCACCAGACCATACCCATCAAAGGTTCCACCGCCCTATAGCGTCCCAGGCTGGTGAATATGCATTCACACAAGTGGCTGAGGGGCCAGTCCAGATCTAGACCACAATGTAGCCTTCCCAGTGGTTTGCCTTCCTTTCTCCTTTATTCCTTCCTCCTTCATTCTTCCTTCCTTCCTTCTTCCCTCCTTCCCCCCCTTCTTCCCTCCCTCCCTCCCTCCCTCCCTCCCTCCTTCCTTCCTTCCTTCCTTCCTTCCTTCCTTCCTTCCTTCCTTCCTTCCTTCCTTCCTTCCTCTCTCTCTCTTTCCTTTTTTCTCTTTCTTTCTTTCTTTCTTTCTTTCTTTCTTTCTTTCTTTCTTTCTTCCTTCCTTTTTTGGGGTTGAAGTGATGGCTGCTCTTGCAGGGAACCTGGATTTGATTCTCAGCATCTGCCTCACAAACATCACAGGTATCTGTGACTTCTGCCCCAGAGGATCCAGGGCCCTCTTCCGGCTTCCCTGGACTCTGCACATACACGGTGCTGTACATGGTGCAGGCAAAATACCCATGAACATGAAGAGTAAGTACGTTTCTTAACTGTATGTACACGTGCGTGCGCCTGCCTGTTGGCATGTGCAGCACATGTGCGCAGGTCCTGCAGAAGGAGAAGAAGGCACCAGATCTCCCCAGCTTTAGATGAGGCCAGTTGTAAGCAGCCTGATGTGGACTGGCGAACCTAGCCCGTGTCTTCAGTGATCTTAACCAACACGACACATGCCAGTCTCCCCTTTTCAATTCTATCAGCAGTTTATCAGTTAGTTATTCTGAGATCTCCAGACAAAGACAGTATGGTCTCATCTGACATACAGTAGTTTTTGTCTCTGTTTTCTGATTATTCCATTACTGCACATATTTCTTTAATAAAAGCCCAGTGTTTGAAGAATATTTAAAAAACAGTATGTTGTTGGGAACCTTTGCTTTTTAACAAATTCAGGACAGTTCCAACTTCCACCTTCTCAAAGGAAGCTGTGTCAATAGTTTCCTGTTTTATTGGAGGTTTTTCTCTTTTCTTTTTTTCAGACTCATATTGGAATTTTTGTGATCTTTATTATCAAACTAGAGGAATGTGTTCTTACTGCTAACTACTGCAGTGTGTTTAAATGGCCCCTTGAACTCCGGGAAAGATCCTTGCTTTGTTGTATCATATACTTATAATGTGCTGTGAGATTTTATTGAATAGAGATTTTTCTTTTGTACCAACTTCTATAAATAAAGCTGACTTAGCAACTGTGTGTTCCATATACCTGGATTAAATGTTAACTATCCTTGCTTATGCATGTTCTAGAGGACCAATCCTTCTGGAACAGTTGAAATAGTAGTAGGATTATCTTCTGTATGGGATGCCACGGTTTATGACAATCTCACTAAAAGTATTGAAAATGGCTGTGTAGTACAGAAGCCGTTTTTCAGCATAGCAGACATTAACAACAGAAACTAGTGAGGCTGAGTCTCAGGAGAAGGGATCATTTGGAAAGAAATCTGGCTCTTTTCAGTCCCTTTTGCAGTGGGGAACTTTTCTGGCTTTATGTGTGATGAGAAGGCTGGTGATCCAGACTTTGCAGAGGTTGTGAGAGGCTGCACAGAGCAAAGAAACCAACGGCTCTCTCAGAGTTGGGAGGAAACAGCATAAGGCAAAATTTCCCAACGGTCAGTTTACTAGATTCTGGCATTTTATGAAATAAAACCTGAGAGGAAAACCTGTTTACAAGGGAGGAGAGAGATTTTGTCTCCTCCATAGGAAGGGCAGGGCTGCACTCTTCTTTCTGTTGCTATGCTAAGATGACCAAAAATAGCCCGAAGAGGAAAGAGTTTCTTTCCTCTTACATTCTGCTGTGCATCACTGGGGAAAACCAGGGCGGGCACTTAAGGCAAGAACCTGAAGTCAGAAACGCAAGCACAAATGGTGGTGGAGTCGTGCTTAAAGGCTTCCTCCCTCTGGTTTCTCAGCTACTTGTCTTACACAGCCCTTGGTTACCAGCCTCGGGATGGCACCACCCACAGTGAGCTGGCCCTCCTATTTCAATTGTCAATCAAGAAAATGTACTATAGACACAGCCACAGGCCAATCTGATGGAAACCTTTCCTCAATGGAGATTCCCTCTTCCCAGTACATCTAGGTTTTTGTTGTATTGGCAATGAAAACCGTCCAGCACAAAGATGCCAAGTTGACACCCCAAGTAGCTCTAAGTGGAGAAATATGGTGAGATAGAATAAAAGTTACATTTGTACCCCCTCCTTCCCATACCTGGCACAGAATCTCTAAACCTCTTGCAGTCTCCCAAGTAACAAGAGTGACATCTGCATGCTAGCGAGGTGAGTGGAGGCCTCTAGACCATATCAGGATGGGGTCTGGTCCAGAAGGACCAGGTCTCGGTTCTAGAACAGGAACTTTCTGACGTCCAGGAATCCGGGAGAGAGTGGAGTTTATTCATCCACCCACTAATGGTGATGGCCTAATCCGCTGAGTCTATGTGGTGGAGCCTGTTGAGCAATGTGGATGACAGGGCCAGGAGCATTCCTGGTTGCAGGCATGGGTGTTCCAAGCAACTCTCCCCATTCACACTTTCCCTTAGACCTCTCTTCCAGTGTAGCTGCTTCCAAGCTGTAGCCTTGGTGGTGTGCCTGCAAACACAGATGGCGTGCTGCCCTGAGCTCTGGGGCCATCCTCCTGAGTGCTGAACTGGGTGGGGTGCAGTTATATGGATCACCGTATTTATAGCTGGCGTGTCAGAAGTACCCAGCCCAGGGCTCGGCAATTGTGTTTGAACTAGGGGCAGCCCTCTATCTCCAAAACTATTTAATCACACTTCATGACAGTGGCAAAACTACAGTTATGAAGTAGCAAAGAGGATGATTTTATGGTTGGGGGGCGCTCCAGAACCGCCGGCGAGAACGTCTACGCTGTCTGGTAGTCGTCAGTTCGGAAACTGCTTGAATCGGTGGGTATCAGGATGGCACTGGGGAGGCAGACTACTAGTGCTGCAATAGAACCTCACCTGAATGGTGTGGGAGGAAAGTAAGATTCACTCTCTAAACAAGGAAAAACCACACAGACTGCTCCGTACCCCAGCGCAAAATCCACTTCCATTTACCCCAGGCCCTTCTTAAAACTGAAGAACTCTTGATGGAAGAGGACAGGTAGGTGTAGGAGGAAGGGACAAGAAAGGGCTTTTGAGACTAGAGGAGTAAGATGGTGTCCACTAGGGTTTTCTCATTGTTCACACATCCCAGTCAGGTGCTGCTGAAGCTTCTGACCTATAAACTTCAACAGGAATGGAGGGAGGGAGAGAGAGAGAGAGAGAGAGAGAGAGAGAGAGAGAGAGAACCTATTACCCTTAACTAAAGGACGGGAAATGGCGGTCTAATGACAGAGAACTTTGGTTGCAATACCTGCCCTACTCCAGCTGAGTGCCAGTAAAAAAAAAAAAAAAAAAAAAAAAACAAATCCTCACCTGCAAGTGCATGTAGTTTTACAGACTGGAGCCAGGAACTGGCTTTCCAGTGGCTTTCATGTCTCCCTCTGCTTCACAGGAACAGAAAGGGCTCTGATCCCTCTTCTGATTGATACCAAGTGGGGAGGAATAGAGACCTTTCATTTC